ATGCTTGTGATAGCTGCACATTGATTTTGTAAACTGAGACTTTGCTGAAGTTGCTTATCAGTTTCAGGAGATTTTGGGCTAAGACGGCGGGGTCTTCTAGATATACAATCAAGTCATCTGTAAATAGAGACAATGTGACTTCCTCCTTTCCTATTTGAATACCCTTTATTTCTTTTTCTTGCCTGATTGCTCTGGCTAGAACTTCCAGTACTATATTAAATAGGAGTGGTGAAACAGTGTATCCTCGTCTAGTGCCAGATTTCAAAGGGAATGCTTTCAGTTTTTGCCCATTCAGTATGATATGGGCTGTTGGTTTGTCATAAATAGCTTTTATTATTTTGAGATACGTTCCGTCAATAACTAGTTTATTGCGAGTTTTTAGCATTAAATACTGTTGAATTTTGTCAAAGGCCTTCTCTGCATCCATTGAGATAATCATGTGGTTGTTGTCTTTGTTTCTGTTCATGTGGTGAATTATGTTTATAGACTGGCATATGTTGAACCAGTCTTGCATCCCTGGGATGAATGCTACTTGATCATGGTGGATAAGCCTTTCGATGTACTATTGCAATTGGTTTGCCGGTATTTTATTGAGGATTTTTGCATCTATGTTCATCATGGACATTGGCTTGAAGCTTTCTTTCCTTGCTGAGACTCTGCCAGGTTTTGGAATTAGAATAATGCTGGTCTCATAAAATGATTTGGAAAGGATTCTCTCTTTTTGGATTGTTTGGAATAGTTTCAGAAGGAATGATAGCAGCTCCTCTTTATATGTCTGGTAGAATTCGGCTGTGAACCCATCTGGACCTGGGCTTTTTTTGGGTGGTAGGCTCTTAATTGCTGCCGCAACTTCAGACCCTTTTATTGGTCTATTCAGGGTTTTGACTTCTTCCTGGTTTAGGCTTGGGAGGATGCAAGTGTCCAGGAATTTATCCATTTCTTCCAGGTTTACTAGTTTATGTGCATAGAGCTGTTTGTAATAATCTCTGATGATGGTCTGGATTTCTGTGGAATCTGTGGTGATATCCCCTTTATCATTTTTTATTGCATCTATTTGATTATTCTCTCTTTTCTTTTTTATTAATCTGGCTAGTGGTCTATTTTGTTGATCTTTTCAAACATCTTTATTTCTGCCTTCATTTCATTGTTTATCCAGTCAACATTCAAGAGCCAGTTGTTCAGTTTCCATGAAGCTGTGAAGTTTTGAGTTAGTTTCTGCATTCTGAGTTCTAACTCGATTGCACTGTGGTCTGAGAGACTGTTTTTATTATGATTTCCATTACTTTGCATTTGCTGAGGAGTGATTTCCTTCCAATTATGTGGCCAATTTTAGAGTAGGTGTGATGTGGTGCTGAGAAGAATGTATATTCTGTGGATTTGTGGTGGAGAGTTCTGTAAATGTCTATTAGGTTTGCTTGTTCCAGGTCTGAGTTCAAGTCCTGGCTATCCTTGTTAATTTTCTGTCTCGTTGATCTAATATTGACAATGGGTGTTAAAGTCTCCCACTATTATTGTGTGGGAGTCTAAGTCTCTTTGTAAGTCATTAAGAACTTGCCTTATGTATCTGGGTGCTCCTGTATTGGGTGTGTATATATTTAGGATCATTAGCTCTTCTTGTTGCATTGACTTTTGACCATTATGTAATATCCTTGTCTCTTTTGATCTTTGTTGCTTTAAATTCTATTTTATCAGAGATGAGAATTGCAACTCCTGCTTTTTTTTGCTCTCCATTTGCTAGGTACATCTTCCTCCATCCCTTTATTTTGAGCCTTTGTGCATCCTTGCATGTGAGATAGGTTTCCTGGATACAGCACACTGATGGGTTTTGGCTTTTTATCCAATTTGCCAGTCTGTGTCTTTTGATTGGGGCATTTAGTCCATTTACATTTAGGGTTAATATTGTAATGTGTGAATTTAATACTGCCATTTTGATGCTAGCTGGCTGTTTTGCCTGTTAGTTGATGCAGATTCTTGATTGTGTCGATGTTCTTTACTTTGGTGTGTTTTTGGAGTGGTTGGTACTGATTGTTCCTTTCTATGTGTACAGCCTCTTTCAGGAGCTCTTGTAAAGCAGGCCTGGTGGTGATGAAATCTCTCAGTACTTGTTTGTTCGCAAAGGATTTTATTTTTCCTTCACTTATGAAGCTTAGTTTGGCTGGGTATGAGATTCTGGATTGAAAATTCTTTTAAGGATGTTGAATATTGGCCCCCACTCTCTTCTGGCTTGTAGGGTTTCTGCTGAGAGATCTGCTGTGAGTCTGATGGGTTTCCCTTTGTAGATAACCCAACCTTTCTCTCTGGTGGCCCTTAGCATTTTCTCCTTTTTTTCAACCCTGGTGAATCTGATGATTATGTGCCTTGGGGTTGCTCTTCTTGAGGAATATCTTTGTGGTGTTCTCTGTAATTCCTGGACTTGAATATTGGCCTGCCTTGCTAGGTTGTGGAAGTTTTCCCGGATAATATCCTGTAGAGTATTTTCTAGCTTGGATTCATTCTCTCCGTCATATTCAGGTACACCTATCAAATGTAGATTAGGTCTTTTTACATAGTCCCATATTTCTTGGAAACTTTGTTCATTCCTTTTTACCCTTTTTTCTCTAATCTTGCCTTCTCATTTTATTTCATTGAGTTGATCTTCGACCTCTGATATCCTTTCTTCTGCTTGGTCAATTCAGCTGTTGAAACTTGTGAATGTTTTGCTCCATTAATTCACTTATATTCCTAAGTTGTTTATTCTCATTAGCATTTTGTCAAATCTTTTTCAAGGTTCTTAGTTTCTTTGCATTGGGTTAGAACACATTCTTTTAGCTCACAGAAGTTTCTTATTCACCCACCTTCTGAAGCCTGATTCTGTCAATTCATCATACTCATTCTCCATCCAGCCTTGTTTCCTTGCTGGTGAGGAGTTTTGATCCCTTGTAGGAGGACAGGCGTTCTGGTTTTGGGTGTTTTCATCCTTTTTGGGCTGGCTTCTTCCCATCTTTGTTGATTTATCCACCTGTCATCTTTGTAGTTGCTGACTTTGATATTGGGTCTCTGAGTAGACATCTCACTTGTTGATGATGAAGTTACTTCTTTCTGTTTCTTAGTTTTCCTTCTAACAGTCTGGTCCCTCTGCTGTAAGACTGCTGAGGTCCACTCCAGGCCCTGCTTGCCTGAGGATCACCTGCAGTGGCTGCAGAACAGTAAGGGTTGCTGCCAGTTTCTTCTTCTGCTATCTTTGTCCCAGAAGGATACCCACCAGATGTCAGTCTGAGCTCTCCTTTATGAGGTGACCCTTCAGATATATGGTGTCAGGGAGCTGCTTGAGGAGACAGTCTGTCCTTTATAGGAGCTCAAGTGCTGGGCTGTGAGCTCTGTTGTTCATTCAGAGCTGCTAGGCAGGTACATTTAGGTCTGCTGCAGCAGAATTCATACCCCTCTCCTTTTTTTTCCCCAGGTGCTCTGTCCCAGGGAGTTAGGTCTTTATTTATGAGTTTCTTTGTGCTGCTAGCTTTTTTCAGGGCTTCCCTGCCCAGTGAGGAGGCAGCCTAGTCACTGTCTGCCTGCAGATGCTTTGCTGAGCTGCTGTGGGCTCTGCCCAGCTGCCATGTGAACTTCCCTGCAGTCCTGTTTATACAGGTGTAGTTAGAACTGCCTCAGCAGTAGCGGCCCACCTCTATAATGGCGGAGGTTCTCTGTAATGGTGGGCTGCCTCGGAAATAGCGGGCTGCCTCAGCAATGGTGGACTGCCTCAGCAATGGAAGACGCCCCTCCCCCACCGAGCTGTACCGTCCCTGGTTCAGCTGTGCTTGCTGTGAAACTCTCAATCCAGAGCGTTTCCAATTGCTGTTTTTTTGTGCGGGTGGGACCAGCCAAGCCTGATCACCTGGCTCCCTGCCTCAGAACCCCCCCACCTTTTTTTTTTTTTTTTTTTAGTTGAACAGTTGATTCTGTTTCCCAGGTGTTCCAGTCACCTGTTGAAAAGGTGCCGGGATCTGTGTGATTTCCCATGCGGCGACCCACTGCACTGGCTGAAACAGCCGCACTGAGATTCGTGGCCCTTTTTTGTCCAGGAATCTCCTGGCCTGGCTCCCTGTTTCAGTCCCCTTTTTAATCAGATGAATGGGTGACTCTGTCTCCCAGGAGCTCTAATCACCAGCTAAAATAGCGCCCAGACCCGTGTATTTTGTACAGAGAACCGCCGTGCCGGGGTGCCAGCAAAACAGCTGTGCTGGCCAAAACAGTCGTGGGTGCCAAACCAGCCATGCTGGAAACCCATGGGGCTCCTCTGCCTGGGAATCTCCTGGTTTGTGAGCAATAAAAATCCATCTGGAAATGTGGCGTCCACTCACCCTCTGCGCTTTCACTGGGAGCTGCAATCCTGAGCTGCTCCTAATCAGCCATCTTGGATCCCTCCTCAAATTGGTACATCTTAATTTAAGTGTCTCTTAAGTATATCTCAAGAAATACTATTACTCAAACTACTTAATAAATACTATTTCTCAAACTTTAATGTCTGTCCACCGTTACCTCCCATATCAGCACTTATGCATTTTCTGGTACTGTGTAGCAGTTACACAAATTTCACAGTATTTTGTTTCACATAAGTAGTATATAGCTGGGCTCAATAGTAACTATGTCAAAATATCTACTTTCTTTAATGCTGAAAGACTCTATTCCATCTTTACATGCCGTCTACTACATCTGTGTTTTCCAAATTTACCTGATCATAAGCTTCATGTAGGTGCTTACTAAATACCAAGTCCCATGTCCCATTCCCTATAAATTCTTAATTTAATTCAGAATGAAGCTAGGGAATTGGTATCTTCTTTTTTTTTTGAACAAGGAAACTCTCTTCATTTATTTCATATAAGGATGAAGAGGATTATGTGATCACAGGAATGTTGCATGCAGGATTATCCGAAGCTGGTATCACCAGGTCCTCACTCTGCCAAGAGGTCTCTCTGGAAGGGGCAGCCAGCTCAGAGATGCTCTGGATCCCCACATGCCAATCATAAAAAAATATGGAATGCTTCACGAATTTGCAGTCATCCTTGTGCAGGGGCCATGCTAATCTTCTCTGTATCATTCCGGCAATTGATATTTTTAACAAGTATCCTCATGATACTGATCACTCATCACCACGCAAGAGTTAGCAAGTACTAACCAAAGCACAATTTTAAAAGACAACTCAACATAGCTGATTTGAACTTCTTTTTTTTTTTTTAACTAGAATGCATTTTTTAAAATTGTACTTTAGGTTCTGGGGTACATGTGCAGATCATGCAGCATTGTTGCATAGGTACACACATGGCAACGTGGTTTGCTGCCTCCATCTCCCCGTCACGTACATCTGGCATTTCTCCTGATGTTATACCTCCCTGACCTCCCCACCCCACTGTCCTTCCCTTGGCCCCCTCCAACAGACCCCACTGTGTGATGTTTCCCTCCTTGTGCCCATGTGTTCTCATTGTTCAACACCCACCTATGAGTGAGAACATGCGGTGTTTCATTTTCTGTTCTTGTGTCAGTGTGCTGAGAATGATGGTTTCCACATTCATCCATGTCCCTACGAAGGACGTGAACCCATCATTTTTTATGGCTGCATAGTATTCCATGGTGTACGTGTTGGAGGCCTGAAGACAATAATTCATTGCTGATATCAGCTTTATCTTAGTTTGTCACCAAAATGAATGGAAGTTTAGGAAATATGCACAAAGAACTCTGTACTAAGTTAAGACCACAGGAAACTGTAGCACAGCTTTCCACTTTCTCGACTCTGATCTTTCTTCCCTCCGTCCCTCTCATCCTTCCATCCTTTCCTCCTTCCTTCAACACTTACCTGAGTTCTTCTCTCACTTCTACAGCAGTATTCCCTGCTATCACAAATACATCATTCATGTCATCAGTCAGCATGTTGCAGGCATAACCGATGTTGATGGCAGTTTCTAATACAAAATAAAAAGCCCAACTCAGTTAAAATGTTACTTAATAAATCCATATTTAATGAAAGTATTGAAGACTTAGCTATATTTTCTTATACCCTATAGGCCCCCTTAATGTCAGTACAACCAGCACAGATGGAAATTCAAATACCTGGGTTCTAGGATCAATTTACTACTTGCTAAACCCATGCAGTAGTAGTAACACATACAAATGTGCAGCCTTGTCATCTAGTTTTCAGAAAACCTTTTCATTCCCAAATTAGCTCTCATGAAAATACCTTAAGATCTTGTGACATAATGACATGTACAAATACAAAATCTTTGACCAGAAGTCCAAATACTGTCTTGGGAAAGCTAAAGTACTAAACTTATCCAATATTTAATTCTGATATAGAGGACAATTTGAAGAAAAAATTCACAACATGTTCAGGTAAAGGACAACAAAAATGCTCTTACAAAATGTGTATGGTTCTCTCACATACAACATTGCCATTTTCCCATTAAATATATGAAAATGTGGAATTTGACTATTATCTCAACCCTTCTCAGCACTGTTCTCCTAGAGAACTAGAAAATCAGAGGATGTTAGATAATTCTTCCTCTAATTTTATCAAAATGGAACTTGAGATAATCAGATAACTCCTTCTATCTTTAATGGAGTTATTTGATTGTCTGTAACTGTATAGAATAATTAGACTCTAGCTAATTCTATGGAATCATTAGTTTTGTCCTAAATCAAGGAAGGTAATTAATAAAATCTCAGCATATGCCTTGTATAAACCACAGAAATTAAAGCTAAATAACAGGAAACTCATGGATATTTGTAATAATAGAACAGCTATAACTGACCAACATCAAACTCTAGAGAGTTTCTATTTAGTAATACACCTGAGTATTGAACTTTCTATTGTTTATTTTTTGTGATCAATGATGTGGATAAAGATGTAGATAACTGATTTATAACATCTGCAAATCCCCTAATGCTGTAAAACATACCTAATGAGTAGACAGAATCTTAACGTAGGTATGTGCCAGTTAATTGAGTATTTTCAGTCTATGAATAGCCAAGCACAAAATCATTTTTGTTTTAACCATTACTGCTAGAAGTAGATCCAAAATGTGTTGGTCCCCTTTTCTTTCATAGGAAACACAGTAGAACATGATGACTCACTAATGATTTGGCATTTTGTCAAGTTTGAAAGTTGACGAATTCTCACTGTATCTTGTATAGACAGTCCTGGAATTCAGCCAGGTTGCACTGTTACAGCTGTAGTAGTTATTAAAACACCAAAATATTTCTATAAGTAGTTGATAAACAGCTGTTTCTGTGAGCTTCTTTGAAGTGTTCCCATCACCCTGATACCTCCCCTAAGAACCTTCAAATTCACTGCCATCAAGAAACTAAAGAAGTAACCGAAGGTCTCCAATATCCTTCTTTAGTTCTGTGACAATATCTGTCCTGACTGGGGACAGTGTTCATAAAAACCAATTGTTAAACATTTTTAATACCATTGTTGCTTCTAGGTGTAATTATTCAATAATTACGGGATTTTGTTAGTTTGTTTCAAAATAGACTGCTGCAATATATTAACTTTCTTTTCTCTATTTCAAGTCTTTCTGACATGGACTAATATTTAATTAATTAAGCTTTCTGGTTAATTAAAATTTTGTGATATAAGTCTTCTTCCTCTTTTCAAAACATCATCATCATCCATTTTAAAGTTACCTTGTTTGTCTCCTGTTAGGACCCAGATCTTAATATTAGCTAGTGATAAACTTGTAACCGTTTCAATAACACCCTCTTGTAACTTATCTTCTACAGCAGTGGCACCTAGTAGCTTTATGGAAAAACAGAGAAAACCTTAAGTTAAATGCATGCAAACAACATCTATAACATCTATGCATTTCACTCACAGAGTTTGGAGGCCAAAGAACGTAAATTGAAGGCAGAAATTATGATACATTGATATAGCAGGCATCCTATTTTGTGCAAAAGTAGATTGTAAAGGAATTGAAAAGGAAGTTCCCTAATCAAGTCAATTTAACCATGGTGATGCCGGGAGCTATTATTTACCTGAAGGGGCTGATATGATCAGATTAAATGTTAGCATGAGCAGTAAGAAGCCATTTGGACTTAAGAACTCCCCAGCTGCTTCCCCACGTACATCAACAGTGGAGGAATCCAAAGAATAGCCTTCATCTTATGATCAGGAAGCTGATCACAAAAAATCTAGTCATTCTTCTACATTAACAAACCAGCACATGCCATAATCTAAAGTGAAGGTTCCTACATGATTTTTCATTAAAAGATGAACAAAGGATACTCCCTAGTACCTCACAATGGCTGAGCTCCTGGCCACTGGGGCCTCAGGTAAGAGTGGTTTTTATAATAGACCATGCTCTGGATAGCACAGATATCACCAGAATTTCATAGCCTAGAATAGTTTAGAGCTGTAGCCCCATTCTTCACAGCAAATTTCTCTGCTCTAAAAAGGTGGGCATAAAGCAAGGAGAAAAATAAAAATCCACAACATCAAGGACACATCAGAGGTTGACAAAGACTACGGAGCCTACTATCTTCTACTCTTCAGAAGCTTCCAATTGCATAAGCTACTGCTAATAGAAATACAATTCTAGGTTCTCTAGGACCATACGTGGAAAACTCAAAGCCAACATACAACGCGTGAGTCAGTGTTTGAAAGAGAAACATCTGCTGTGTGCAAGATGTTTTAGCCAATGGCTTATTCCTATGCTAAATCTCTAAACACATACTCCCCTTCCTGTAAACACAATCCATCATGCTACTAAATTCATACCATCAAATCTCTTTCAATTTCTTCATACAGCGCAGCTATTCGTTCATCCCTTCCTTCTATGGCAGCATTTGCATCTTCAAGCATCTTATGCCACTCTTTAAAGTACTTGTCATCTAGGTCTCTGTATGCGGTGGCCAAGGTCCGAAGGCCTTCCCCTGCAAATTCCTGCCAGAGAAGACATAGACTCAGGAACAGTAAAAAAATAAAATAAAATAAAAACAATAAACATCGGCCGGGAGCAGTGGCTCACACCTGTAATCCCAGCACTTTGGGAGGCTGAGGCAGGTGGATCACGAGATCAAGAGATCGAGACCATCCTGGTCAACATGGTGAAACCCTGTCTCTACTAAAAATACAAAAAAAAATTAGCTGGGCATGGTGGCGCGTGCCTGTAATCCCAGCTACTCAGGAGGCTGAGGCAGGAGAATTGCCTGAACCCAGGAGGTGGAGGTTGCGGTGAGCCGAGATCACGCCATTACACTCCAGCCTTGGTAACAAGAACAAAACTCCGTCTTAAATAAATAAATAAACACAGAAATAACAACAACAAAATAATTTTTTAGAAATTTTTCACTCAAATTCATTTTGTCCTAAGAGCACTCTTTGGCTATCCTTACTCTCAACTTTTTAATCTCCTCAGAAATGGAAGACAATGTGTGTATGAGGTTAAAACATGCTGGAAAGCTAGCCTTCCCCCTAAAGACAGCTGGAAAAGCCTGCTGAAGTATCCTAGTTGAGCGGTGATCAATGACACCCATGACTTGAGATACTCATTTATGGCAACATATGTTTCCAACCTGTCCTTGACAGAAGGAAGCATTTCTGGTCATGAGACGGACCCAGTAAGGAGGGTCCCTCATTCAGTGATGAGGAAAGGACCCTTGGAGAAGCCATGGTTCTCAAATCAAAGGCAGGACGCTCTCCCCAGGAAATGCAGCATGACATGCCACCAAAGTCTTATCACATCCCCCCTAGTGATATGCCTATGCCTAAATTAATTGAGTACTACTTTTGCATATGCTTGAAATTTTCAAAAAAGCTAAAAATAAATAATAAATGAATAAATAGATGTCAAATTGTCAGATATTAGAAGTTTAACCATATTACTTAAGGTTATAATAATAACTTCTAGGGCAAAAGGGAAGAGAAAGGAAGAAAAGCTAATATAAGTGGTAGCTTCTGGAAAGCAGAACTAAATGTGGAGGCTGAACTTCACTTTTTATTCTAAACTCCTCTGAGAAACTTTTTAATGTTTGCTATATTAAAGTTTTCTCTTAATAACAACAAATTGTTTGGAATTTTAAAGACATCATCAAGTCAGCTTAGTGCAAAAAAAGTGTTATTTTTAGAAGCTGTAGTCTGTGAAGCTAGTACTAAATTAGTCAAACTGGAGAACCATACTCCTCCTTAATTCTGTATCTTGACTATCTCAAACAACACCTTTGGTGCTTTCTCCTAACAGGAGGGAAAAGAAAAACAGGAGACTGGTAAGTTGCTAAGTGTCTCACACAGCCACAGTAACTAGAAACATATGTACATTGCTTTGGGGGGAAATGCTTAAAAACTCCTACTCCGCCTGTGCTTCCAGTGGTCATTTTATGGGCCTCTACACTGCAAGTAAAGCATTTTTATAGCCATTTCTGCTCCTTTGGGCATTGCTATTGAGCATGTCTCCTCTGTGGTGTTTTGGCTTACGGTACACACATAGGTTTATAATCAGGCATATAACCTTGACATGCTGTAATTAGGTAAATAGAAAGAAAAGTCAATGCATACTGCAATGAGATGGTTTACCCCATACAGATTCTTGAGATAAATTATCTAAATGTATTTAGTAGGCAGTTGGTAGCACTTTGGATATTGTAATCACATTTTTAAGCTCTGTCTTTCAAGACCACCACTGGATCCCCTACTGATTTGAAAATTTATTTACTGTGTTATAACAATCTTTTGTCCTCCTAATTCACACGAACACTTTTTTGCCTTTAACTTGCAACCCCACTGGGCATTACCAGTGCCTCCCTCTCTGATCTGCACAACAGTGAATGAACAATGGCATTACAAAAGGAAACAGATGATTTAAGTTATTTCATTAGTGCATGAAACACAAGTTTGATCCTAAATGAGCATTTGATTAAGGTCTTTTCCTATCATTAAACAATTCAAAATCAGTAATTAAATAAGCATTTAAGACCTCAGAATCTAGAAGCCAAAATGAATAAAGTGAATACGCAAAGAGCAAGTTAAATTTATATTACCTGAAAAAAAAATTATTTTGCAGAAAAATTTTAAAAAACCAAATTAGGCTTCTTATAGTATGAAAGGAGAATATATGAAAACCCAGGGCCTCAGTGTTTGAGTAATGGCAAAAAAATCAGATACTTATGATTCCAGTGTTGTTTTCATTTTAAAAAAATTTTAAAAGACCATGCTGCCCTTCTGGAAAAGATTAAAAGAAAATCAAGAATTCTCTAATGGAAAGACAAAAACAATAGCTATGTTTGAAACCAATATTACTAAACCATCATTTTTTAAATTTAAAGTGAGGCAGAGGATTTTTATTTTATTTGTTTATTTATTTTTTAAAGATTCAGGGAATGTTTTGTATTAAATATAGGGACTGACAAAGAACATGAATACTTAATAATGTCTTAAAGGAAAGAAACTGAGAAAATGAGAGTTTTGTCCAGATGTCCTTAATGGAACCACAAACAAATATTATAGACACACCTGAATCTCAGGTTTAAACCAACTAATGCTCATATGAATTCACAGCCCCCTTACTTTTTGGCATTAAAAAAAAAGTGTGCCAAAAACTATCCTTACTTCTTTCAGAAAACTTTTAGAAAGAAATTATGCTGGTCTCAGAATGTACAAGTTTGGTGTCTGAAGGCACACAAGGAACTCATCATGATTTATGATCTGAATAAAAAGACCCTTAGAGGAGAAAGTGGGCGCCAGAGACTGCTACTCTCTAATCTCAACACAATCTGAACACAACCCTGAACTTTCCCTGGGGGTAATCATAAGATATTCCACTAATACCAAACACATCAGAACCCAAGGAAAAGCAGCTTTCTGTCTCCTCTTTCCAGAACTAGTCGTCCAAGAGGAGCAACATGAAGCTGCAGGGGAGTTGGAGCAGGTTCCCCAGATGCCCACATTCTGTGGCTACTGCTCAGTTGCTGTGTGTTCCCCTACCTGCAGCAGACTGACGGGACTCCCAACAGGACGGAAAGGGGAGGTCCTTATGTCAATTTCCAGACAATCATTGGCACAGCTTCCTGTGGAACCACTCTCCAGATGCTTTCTATTTCAGTAGTCAAATCATTTAGCTGCTATTTTTTTTAAAGAAGACCTAACCATAAGAGATGGCAAAAGGGCCATTATGCTAACCTTAAGATGGAGGCACTTACACTGAGGTGGTCTGACGTCAAAGACAGAAGGTCTTCATTGGAAGGATGAAGTTTTTCAAACAGAACAGTATCTGCTCCTTTGGAATAAAGCTTTATCTGCCCTTCTGGGTTTCGAACTGAAAAGAAAAAAGTTCAGAAAAGCAGATTATAATCAATGACACACATCAAAATTAGACTCTTCCAGAGTTCCAGCCTGGCAATTTGGAAATGAGCATAATGTTTTAGCCAGTAGTAAGACACTCAGTGCCTTTGGTAAGGTCATTATCTAAGTTACTTGGTTTTATTCTCATTTATTAACTTAGAAATGCTCCATCTGTTGGAGTCTTTGATTTCCCAAATTCAGAAACAAGTATTTTTATTCTGAAGCATATGACCTTCCTGTTTTCCTTGCCTACTCTTTCTGAAGAGTTGATATATCTAAATTAAGTCTTCATCTCCATATTGAGCAGAATTGAGAGCTTTATTTGCCTGTCTCCTGGTGTGAAATTCAAGACCTGCTGTTCAAATCATCATCAGTGTTACGCCAAATCATCTCCATATGGAATTCTAGCCATTCAAAGTCATGGTTTATGCATTTTTTCTTGGCCCTTGCTGACATATTTCTTCACCCCTTTTACTCTGGAAAAGCCTGTTCATTCTTCATGGTTCGTTCTTGGGTCACAATGCTGGCTAAAAACGCACTTCACAGAGGAGCTTTTAAAAATAAAGTTTCCACCTCATTCCCACTGGAAGTATGTCAGAGGCACTGTGTTTTTAACCTGGCCCACAGGTTTGAGATTGATAGCCATTTCTAGGCTACCCTCAACTCCATCCAACCACAACCCCCAGCATATTGCTGTTAGAGAAAGCTTTCTTTCAAACCACAGAACACTTGGCCTAACTTTGTAGCTTTAATTGTACAGCTTGACACATAGCAGGCAGTTAATAGTTATTTGTTGAATGAATGAATGACATGGCTGTGTATTTCTTCCCAGAACTACCCACAACTTAAGACAACTGTCTTAGTCACAACTTCATGATCTGAATATTCTCACCCTCATAGGCTTCGTCAGTTGAATCAAAGATCATTCATTACATGCTTTCCACTCAGTTATACCTTTTCTCTACAAACAGAATAACTCAAAAAAGGTTAACATAAATGTTCACTATTAATTGCTATTAATGTAATGCCCAAAAAATGGCATAAAGAATTTAGAGCTTAGTTTAAAACCAAAATACAATGTTACCCTCCCCTCTACCCGTAGTAAACACTTATTTATTCTAGTTTCCCCCTGGCTTGCATAGATCTAATAATACAGCCTGAAAACTTTTTAGAACTGGGCCTTGTCTAGGTCTTGTCTTCTGTTTGAAGACCCTGGGTTAGCTTTCCAAAGTGCCAGAACTCACGCAGCTTTTCTTATAGTCTAGCTCTAACCACTCACGTTGGGGAAAAAAGAGAGAAAAAAAAACATATGCAATTTATCTAATTGTTAAACCAAGGGGGAAAACTTAATCCTAAGAAAGGCTTTCTCTTGATTTTCTTGTACAATAATCCGATTTATATTTTCTCCCATCCATCACCAGAAGGATAAAGGCAAAGGATGAATATCCTACATTTGCCTGTATTTTGTATTCTAGACTGGGACATTAGTTCTCAAACTTTTGGCCTGAGGACCTTCTTTATAATTTTTCAATGCTGAGTGATAATTCTAAAAGGTTTTTTTATATGAATTTTACCTATCCATATTTACCACATTAGAAATGAAAAGAAATTTTATGTCAATAGTTTTATAACACTAATTACTTTAATAATTATTGTAAATCTAACATATAAATATAAATGACATTTCTATTTAAAAAACTATATTTTTCAGAAAAAAATTAGTTTGAAGACTGGCATTATTTTACATGATTATAGATCTTTTAAACATCTAGTTTAATAAAAGAGCTGGATTCTCATATCTGTTTCTGCATTCATTCTGTTGTGACATCACATGTCATGTGACTTCTGCAAAACTCCATGGTATACTCATGAGAAAAAATAATAGTGATATTATAATGAAAACGCTTTTGTCCTTGTGCATCCTACAAAAAACTCACAAGGTTCTCTATGGTTCCCCAGACCACACATTTAGAATCACTGGTCTGGAAGAGCCACAAACTGACTGTGATTTGTGTAAATCCCTTACCATCTCTATATCTCAGTTTCTTCATGTAAAAAGATATTTAAAAGGTCCTTTACAGCTGTACAATTTTCTGATTCAATAAATACTTTCCACCCCTGATACTTTCTCTTAACCTAGTATTTGTCCCTTCAAGTTTGAATTTATATAAATCTAATTTCATGGAATCCTGCTTTACTCATTAAACATTTGCTTTAGTAGCTCAGCAAGTTTTATATCTCTTTTCTTCCAAGCCTCCTGGTCATTTCTGTTCAAAGTTAATTAATTCTAAGTCATTTCAGAAGTTAGTATTTATATTACATAAACTAAAAAGGATAAAGTTTTAAATGGTCAAGATAACCTATGTCCAGAGCCTGGACAAAGGTCATAGTTTTTAGGTTATAAAAATATTCTCCCATTGCTTCCCATTTAAATATTAGTGTTCTTCAGAAATTTACTTGGGGTCTTTTTTATCTTCCTATCCTTCACACTCTCCCTCAGCAACTGCATTCATGTTCCATCAACAGGCTGTTTTCAAATGTGTATCTTGTATCCAATCCATCTCCAGCACTCCAATCTGACCCATACATCTGACTACCAACTGAACACCTCTTGGATATGCCCAGGCACTCCAAACTCATACTGAATATATTACCCACAAGTCGAATAATTAGCTACTCCTCTCATAGCCCCAGTCTCAGAAATCAGCTTTACCATCCACTTAGTCTCTCAAACCAGAAATCTGGGCATCCCTCACAGTTCTCCCTCCATCAACCATACATCTAAGGGAAACCATAGATTTCTCTCTGTCACTTCTCTCTCACCTAGAAAATCACCTTAACCTAACTGGTTTTACCCATTATAGTACTGCTTCCTTCCAGACTCTTCCATATATTCCAGCTACAGTCATCTTTATGCTGCTGCTTAGAATCCTGCAATAGCTTCCCTCTCACTTTTATGAAGTTTGGACTCCTTGACATGGCATATAGAGCTTATTAAGAGCTGCCCTTTCCAGTCCATTTCACCATTTCTGTTGGATACAGTCACATAGAACTACCTTTCAATTTTTCACATTCTCCCTTAGCTTGAAGGCCTTGAAACATAGTGGGCACATAAATAAATATTTGCTTAATTAAGATGAACCAAAATTGTACACGATTTATTGGAAACATAAGCTATGCCTCTGTGACATAAAGGAAAGAAAAATACCACAAATGGCTTCCAGTTAGATGCAATATCAGCACTGTGAAGGGTGGTAAATAATTCCATTTTGCCATATTGCTGCTGCTCGTACAACTACACAGAGAATTGCCTGTCACATGATGGTGTGATCTGTACTTTGATTATCCTGAAAAAGTTTAGAACTGAGCAACTTTTATCTAAAGATCTTGTAAAAGCCTTCCAAGAAACTTCTTGTAATTTATTCTTCTTTAATGGTTATCTGCCACTTGCCCCTGTTAATAGCTATCTTTGAATTTTATCTCTGCATTTCTATTTACAGAATTAGAAAACTGGTCTTTCCAAAAGTATATAGTGACATTTATATTTTTTACTAATACAGTAGATTCTGTTCCCTCTGAAAAAAAATCCTTTATAGAAATCAATTTTTATGTAGATATTTCTGACTTAAATCAGGGCTCTTTATTCAGATTAAAAGTACTACTGGTATTGAAATTATGCATTGATGATTTAGTGAATAGTGGCTCCCACCCAAAAAACAAGGAAGCAGAAGGAGGAGAAAGAGAAGGAACAGCAGCAAACGCCTCAGTCTTTGTATCAGGGTGTTGTTCCTGCAGACCAAACCATGTGACGATCATGAGACTAGATTGTTTTTTGCCTTGTTATCATGCAGAGACATTTCTGCCCTAGTAGAGTCCCTCTAAAATTCCTCCCTATTAAAAACCAAACAGAATAAAAATAAATCCAGCAAACCTTCATGCATTCTGTGGTAAAGTACTACCTTTCCTCATATGGGATCCATTAAGGCAAACATCTGATGTTTGTGGTTAGGCTGCGATTTCTCCACAGCCTGTAATGGTGACCAGTGCTGAGGAAAAGCCAAACATCTCCCTGTGTAGCAATTTTAGGTTTTTGTCAACACCCTCAGAGCAAAAGAAACCAACTCCGGGCCAAACCAACATCAATAACACCTCCCCTGAGGCTGCAAATAGTAGATCTCTCCTGCTGATACAACATTAAACCAACACCTAGAACAGCATGTGCGCTCATCAGCAGCACTGGTGATGACTTCCCTGTTGTCAAAAAAATAAAAATAAACATTCTCAGAAGTTATTTGGGTTTTACCTCCTGAGAGCCATGTTTCAAGGCTAGTTTCTGGTAGTTAGAAACCAAAAACTCTACTACTATGTAAATACATGTTTTACATAGTAAGAAATTGATTAAATACAATGAGTAGAATATTCATAAGTTATACTCAACCCAAAGTGTTGGGTTGAGTAATATTTCACAAACGTTTATAGAAAACCTATCATGTGCCAAGCTCTGCGTTTGGCCTCAGGCAGTTTAGGAAGGCTAAGGTATAGCACCTGCCCTCAGCAGCATACAGTTTAATACGTGGGATAGTCAAGAGCAGGCGTCCCCAAACTTTTTACACAGGGGGCCAATTCACTGTCCCTCAGACCGTTGCAGGACCGCCACATACTGTGCTCCTTTCACTGACCACCAATGAAAGAGGTACCCCTTCCTGAAGTGCGGCAGGGAGCCGGATAAATGGCCTCGGGGGCCACATGCAGCCCGTGGGCTGTAGTTTGGGGACGCCTGGTCAAGAGTGTCATGGAAGTAATATCACACCGGTGTTATGAACAAGGCATTCTGGGGAACACAGAAGAATGAGGTTATTTGGAGAATAAAAAGGAATCGAAAAATGGATAACATTTGAATTGGACATTACCAGATGAGTAGTATGGGGCATTTCCAAGAAGAGAAGTGGGGGAAAAAACTATTCAAGATAGGGGAACAGCAGGCACAAGGGGTGTGAAGAGAAGTGGGGGAAAAAACTATTCAAGATAGGGGAACAGCAGGCACAAGGGGTGTAAAAGCACACAACGCATCCAGGGATGGAGAGGTCTAGTTGAGCTCAAAGTTTTGTAAAGTAGAAGAAAAGTAGATTGAGGTCAGATTGCAAATAATTTTGCATGTCATACTAAGGACTTTGGGAAGCTACCAATCATTTTTAAGTAGGGGGCAGAAAAATCAGGCCTCTGTTTTAGAAAGAATATCCTGGTGACAGCATAGAGAATTATTTTCAAAGGGAATAATTTGAAGATATTACAATAATACAAGCAAGGAGTAACAAGAACTTTAACTAAGGCAGGGTACTGGGAATCAGGGAAAAAGGACAAAAAGCTTTTACAATTTAAAAGCATTTATGGGCCAGGCGTGGTGGCTCATGCCTGTAATCCCAGCATTTTGGAAGGCCGACACGGGCGGGTCACTAGGTCAAGAGATCGAGACCATCCTGGCCAACATAATGAAACCCCGTCTCTACTTAAAAATACAAAAAAAATTAGCTGGGCGTGGTTTGCTTGATCACGGGAGGCGGAGGTTGCAGTGAGCCGAGACTGCTACTGCACTCCAGCCTAGCACCTGTCAACAGAACGAGACTCTGTCTCAAAAAAAGAAAAAGGGTTTATGAGGCTATTTTAATAAGTATCATTCTGATGGCTCTCAGAAGAGACTTAAAAACAGCATGGCAACAGAGGATTCTAAAGATGTTAAGGCCTGAGAGTAGAAGAGAAGGAAATGGGTTAGAGACGTGTCTCAAACATCTGTGGGGAAAATAATAGATAGTATTTGAGGATCTATTAGTCTAGAGAAGTGGTCCCCAAACTGTGGTTCCCTGACATCAGTGACTTCAGCATCACCTACAAGCTTGTTAGAAATGCAAATTGGTGGGCCTCACCTCAGACCAGCTAAATCAGAAACTAGAGGCTGGGGCCTGGCAATCGCTGTTGTAACAAGTCCTCCTGGTAATGTTGATGGGAACTAAAGTTTGAGAACTATTAGCCCAGGGGCACAAAAGCTATGGAAAAGAGTGAGTGATCTACAATAGGGCTTAAAAGACCAGACTTTGGAAAAAGACACACCTGGGTTCACATATTTGATCTGCCTCTTACCAGCTGTGTGATGAGCTGCGTTACAGCTGTGTGACAATATTTGGCAAGTTACTTAAAATCTTTGAGTTTAATTTTCTCTTGTCTTAAATGGGACATGCATGTTACATGCAGTTGCAACAACTCAGTAAAAGAATTCCTTATAAAGTTCATGGACAAGCATACAATGAAAGGTAACTGTGAATTTTAATACAGATTATAGAAAGAACAATAGTTGTGAGAAAGAAACTTCCATATTTGACATAAAACTAGATAACTATAGCACAATCAAATGACAGAACATAACAGAAGGCTGAAAAAGTGTTTGGACTCTAGCAAGAGATTGAAGCTAAAGAGCTGTGTAAGAAGGTCACAGAATATAACCAATAGCTACCACCACGTATGTGGTCAAGATCATCCAAGAAGAACACAGGAACTGAGAAGAGAAAAGGACACCGGACACCAATACTGAAGAATGGGATAAAGGAAAGCAGTCAGCAAAGGAGCTTGAGAAAGAAAACAATGGGACAAGAAGAGAATTGGGGGCCAGAAAGTTTACAGAGGCCAAAATAGGAGTGTCAAGAAAACAGGGTCAACAGTCTCAAATGTTACTAAGTTTAAAAAAATGGATAGATGAACAGATTAATAAGGAAAAGCCACTGGCACTGGGAAGTTAAAAGGCGAATGGAAACCTCTGAGAAAGCAATCCTTCTTGAGTAGTGAAAGCAGAAACTTAACCCTAATGGGCTGAAAAGAGTAAGAAAGGCAAGAAGCAAAAGCTGACCTGAGAAATTAATCTGTGATGAAAAGCAGAAATATATGGTGGCAAAATCAGTGGACACCAAAATATGAACAATATCTTTAAGGAAACAGGAGGATAATAGAGTTGTGCACTGAAGGAAGGAGCCAGTAAAGGAAAAATTGAAGGCACAAGCAAGAAGGGAACAAGCAAGGAGAGATAAGGAGTGGGACTGGAAAAACCTTCAGCTTTGAAAAGGAACAAGAGCAACTGCTTTCTGATGCAGGAGAGTAAATTATTGAAGATATAGTTTAGGGATGAAGGTGGGGATGGGAAAAAGAGATAGTGGTGTGCATTCCTGAGGGCCTTTATTTTCTTAGAGAAATAGGAGATGAATTTAGCTTTCGAGAGTAAAGAAGATGGTGGCAGTGTTGAAATGGCCAAGGTTTAAAATATATATTTTGAAAATGGAAAAAGATACTAAATATAAATGAGAGGGATATTGACACAGCACTGAACATTGAGTCAGGAAAGCATAGATTTGTTTTGGTGCTAAATACAATATTAGGTGCTCCTCTCCAGCAGTGGAGGTCGACAGAGGAAATGAATGAGGCTAATGATGATATTCACAACAACTATCATCTGCCAAGCAATTTAGAAACTCACCCTGAGCCACTATTGTGTAGTGATTAAGTGAATGGACTATGCAGTCAGTCAACTTCCCAGGTTTGAATCCTGGCTATTCTACTTCAAACTATGTGATCTTGGACAAGATACTAAACCTTTCTGTGTTTTAGTTTCATTATCTGTTAATGGGTATAAATATAATAGTTCCTATCTTATTAGGATTGTTGGGACAACTAAAAAATTTAATTCATCAGAGCATTTTTGACGTTTTTAATTTTTTTTTGTATTTTTATTGATATTATTAGGCATACTCACATAGAGCATTTAGAACAGTGCTGGGCACATAATGAGCACTTGCTAAGTGTTAGTTATATATCACTACAGTACTGAGGGTAGGTTGTGCAACATAACAGTTCATACATAAAGTTTCAAAACTATCACAACTCTCAGCATGTAGCCAAAAGTGAAATAATCCTTGAAAAGCATAACCGCAACACTATGAAAAGATCAAAAATAGTCTCAGCTACCAATCATACCTATGACAGACATCCTTTTTCTGGTATTGTTGAAATCCAGAATGGCAAGTAATTGATAAGTAACTGGTGTTCCCAGTTCTTCTATTGTTATGGTCTCTGGGGTCCGGGATTTAAAAATGAACCCAAAATTTCTAGCAGCAGTCACTAGAGCCCCTTCATCAGGTGATTGAACTTGGTAAATTAGCTCTCCTAAAAGGAAAAGAAACAAGTTTATCAATACTGACAATAATAGTTAACCCACAGAGTTCCAATGCCAACCGCAACTCATTATTTAACACCCGATTCAAGCATCAGATTTAAAAATCTTTCCTGTCCTCAGACCTTTTCCACTCACCAACAGTTGAATCACGTATCTGTCCTCTGGGACACCACAAGACCCTATGTAAATCACTACTATAGCCCTTCATCTTATAAGAAAACATCCATTTCCAAGTCTGCCTCTTCACTGTGTTCAGTTTCTTAGATTAGAGACCAAACTTTTATATTTTCAGTAACTAGAGATGTGCCATGAATGTTTCATAAACTAAAACATTTTAATATATAATTAACTCACATAATCCTCATGGCAGCCTTTGAGGTAGAGATTATTAAATTTGTTATTTCCATTTTATACTAGTGAAACCTATAACTGAAAAAAGTTACATGAATTTGATGAGATCATACAGCTAAAGAGTGATGGAGAGATAATCCAAATTCTATTTCAGTCTGCTGCTAATGACCATTTTATGAGGATGTATACAAGAAATCCCTTGAAATATAAGAAATCAAACCAGGATATCAATACTTGTTACCTGATATTATGTGTATGTTAGAATGGGGGTAAGAAGGGAGAGGAGATAAAAAGAGTAAGTTATATGTATATATATATATATGTATATACATATAGAGTTTTAAAAACAGCATATATAAAGTAAGCCCTTATATAAAATTAAATCAAATTTATATGTAAAAATTAATTAGAAAATTTAATTAGTTTAATGTTTAAAAACTATTAATTAGGCAGAGCTAGACTCATATTTCCTAATTTATAGTGATGTCCAGGATCAATTGTTAAGTAAACAAGATGCATATTAATGGCTACACTATGATTTCTTTTTGTTAAAAAGAAACAAATCACCTAAATATCTGCATATATTCTTGAATATATGTATACATTTACAAGCCAGAGGAGAGGGTGAAATCTTACACACCAGATGTTACCACTGGTTACCTCTATAGGGGTGAGACTGGAGTTCAGGGAAGCTACCATTAGATTCACCTTTATAAATTTTTGTATTGTATTGTTTCACTTGAAACAATTGGCATTAATGAATTTTTGAAATTCACAACAGGTAAAAAACTTAAAGCAATTACTTGATCTACCCATTAAATAATATAGTCAAGTTCTACATCTGGTAACAAGGTAGACTGGGTGTCAGGACCAATATCAGCTGCTATAAACAACTATACAACCATTTTAATATCTTAAATATATCCATGAATTGGCAAAGAAAGCAAGAACTGTTCAGGTCATAGACTGAGAAAAAGAACACCTAGGGGATTAAAGCAGCTCATTAGCCAGCATTTGCCTTGAGGGCATTTTCTGAACCTGGAGAATTTGATTGTTGGTTTTCATTGCCTCTGGGCTTAAATTTAAAAAGGCAGAGCTCAGAACCTGTCCAAGGTGAGAAGTCCAATGAAATATGGCCTCTTAAAACTGGGTCCCCCAAAGACTATTCTCAATATAAGGGTAAATTTGAAATTCATGCCCAGTTGAAGAGGGCTTCCAATAAAACTTGCTAACTAGAACCCTCCTTACAGTGGAAGGGAAAAAAATATCTGCTGAATTTATGACCAAACACTGACTCTCATGTAAACTTGCATCCTGAATTCACAATATCTCGGTGGCCTGAAAGAAATCAAGTTGAAACTTTAAAATGTTCCTACATTAGAACACTGAAGCAATGTAAATCCTTTCCGAGGGAACCAACTGGACCCAAAACATTCCTAAAAATTAAGTTCAAACTAAAATGGTCAACTCACAGTGAAAAGTACTGAAACAACAAATAAGGCCTGAGAACCAACAGAAACAATGCAGAGTAAGATTTGGAAAAAAGTTAGATATTAGAAGTATCAAAAACAGCACATGCAATATATTTAACAGATTTCAAGAAGTAAATTTGAGATATAAAATTAAACAGATTTCAGAAAGAACAAAAGACCTTATAGGAAGAACTAGTGGGCTGAGAGAAAAATATAAATGGAATAGATATGGTTCAACTGGGGCGAGAAGACGGTTCCCTATACCATTATATATCTGCCTCACAGCTTCAAAATGTTAAGTGGCCCAGCTAGTTTTGTTCTATCCTATGAATGCTGAGTTCCAAACAACCATCTCACAAGTGTGATGACTTGCTCATAGTGGAGGCTAAATAAGACTATTTTAAAATCAACATCAATTTATCTCTGTTACTGGGGAAATTCATTCTAAGCATATGCCTGAAGGTCATCTGCATCTACTAGATGTGCACACCAATAATGAGAAATGTGTGACTCAACTGTATTTCACTATTTATCCTGGCTACCCAGAAGCTCACAGGCAAACATGGTGCTCAATCATAGAACGATGTCATCCTCTTTGACTAGCATATTTGGGTCCTCGCCTTTCCACTGTCCTTATTTCTCTTCTTTTTCATTTAAATCTCTCCACATTTTTAAAAACCATATGGGATATAAATTATGTTCTACCTTTAACTTGAAAATACTACAAATTTAATGTAAGTTTCTGTTTTAAAATACAAAAACAAAAAACAAGTCTTACTGCTCAAATGCTTAATTTTTAAATCCTTCAAACTTAGTATCAGCTTCAATTTAAAAAAACATAAACAAGGTTCACCACTCTGACATACTTTTCACTTACCTGCACTATTCTCTTCTGACATTACAGTGTGGCAGAGAGTAAGTAACCTAAAGAATTCATGAACTTTGGGATCACCCAGTTCAATGGATTCCATCAGACTGTGGTCAAAGAACTGAAATTCTCTATCCACTTGAGATTTGACTGAGAAATCCACAGGCTCTTTTTCCTTTAGGAGAACAAGAATAAAAATAACCATAAGCTTCACCCCAACAGATAAAAGATTAAAAGATTTTAATTATTTTTTAAAATTCAAAAATAATTCACCCAAGTATTTTTATCATATTTTTTTTGCAGCCTCAAATGCCTGGCACTAAAATGGCTGTTTCATCATTACTGGTAAATATAATATTCTCATTTCAGAACCATGTACCAAAGAGGTGACCCTTCCAAAAGTGTATGAGAAAAAAATCCCAAAAGTATATGGGATGGCTGTACAGATCCTCAAATGCTCAATACAACTCCAAAATACAAAAAAGCACAGAAAATGCAAAATTTTTTAAAAATCTACTTGATGGCAAAACCTGATCTGACTTGAACTAATTTGGGCAGAAATATCTGACCTGGAATGATATATATTTAACAATGACTTCTTAAAGCCTACTTAATACTTGTGAATTAATATTTTCTAATATAAAAACATCAATGTATTTGATTATGGGTACTTTCTCAGATGTCACTGGAGATATTGCATTATAAAATGGCAGCTACACCATACTGTCTTCCTACAACCAGAAAATTCTGGATTTCTAAATACATCTGGCTCTAAAATTTCAGAAAAGGGACTATGAACCTGTATTTCAGAAGCAAGCCTATGGAAGGTTCTACCCTGAATACTTACATGTAAGAGCTTTATCAGCTGCAGAGTCCACATTTCCTCCCCCAGGATTATTGCAAAAGTTTTTATTCTTAAAGACTTCATTAACTTTTGCAATTGATTCTAAAGTTACAAGAGCAGATGGAATTATAACCTCTTTTGAAAAGAGAAACAATGGTGTTGGCAATTGAAATTATCTATTCTGAGTCACAAAGCTTGTTAACACCTACAGTAAAATTGGAGCCTTTGTTTCTTGAAGCCAAATTTATTCTAAAATTAATAATACTGAATAAAAATAAGAAATATTTATTATATTTAAAATAGGCCAGACATTATGCTAACAATTTTATATGGGATATTACGTATAGTCTTCCTAACAGCGACGTATAGTGGATACTATTATTATCCCTGTTTTACAGATGAAAATCTGAGCATTGCCAAAGCCAAACAAATACATCCATGAGCCAGGACTGAAACTTAGTCAAAAATCCATGCTTCAGATACTTTGCCATAACAACTCCTTAATATAATTCTTGCTTATTTCCCTGTCCTCTTATTAATAACATCTGCCACATATCAAGTGATAATAGCATACTAGTTTCTTTTTAATTTAAGTACTTTTAATGTTTTCAGTCAAAGCAATACATCCAGAGTTACAAAATCAAATACTACATTAAGGCTTATCTAGTAAAGCAAGAGACTTCATCCCCACACCTCCATCACCACAGCCCCAGTCCCAATCCCCAGAGAAAATTACTGTCAGACTTCAGAAGGCATATCAAATGGTTACCCCACTTGTCAAATTCAACTTTTGTTGCAGTTCCTTTTGGCATTTTTGTCCTTAAGTCTTTTCCCAGGCCTATGTCCCAAATGGTATTGCCTAGGTTTTCTTCTACTGAATAGGAGATCCATTCCCTACTGTTTGTTTTTGGCAGGTTTGTTGAAGATCAGATGGTTGTAGATGTGCGTGGTATTATTTCTGAGGTCTCTGTTCTACTCCATTAGTCTGTATGTTTGTTTTGGTACTGGTATCATGCTGTTTTTGTTACTGTAACCTGGTAGTATAGTTTGAAGTCAGAGAGCACAATCTCTCCAGCTTTATTGTTTTTGCTTAGGATTCTCTTGGCTGTACAGGGTCATCTTTGATTCTATACAATACTTAAAATAGTTTTTTTCTAATTCTGTAAAAAAAGTCAATAGTAGCTTGAAGGGAAGAGCACTGAATCTATACATTACTTTGGGCGGTATGACCACTTTCACATACTGATTCTTCCTATGCATGGGGATGGAATGGTTTTCCATTTGTTTATGTCCCCTCTTATTTCCTTGAACAATGATTTATAGTTCTCCATGAAGAGGTCCTTGATATCCCTTGTTAGCTGTACTCCTAGGTATTTTCTTCTCTTTGCAGTGATTGGGAATGGGAGTTCATTCATGATTTGGCTCTCTGCTTGCCTATTGTTAGTGCAAAGGAATGTTTGTGATTTTTGCACATTGATTTTGTATCCTGAGAATTTGCTTATCAGTTCAAGAAGTTTTGGGGCTGAGATCATGGTGTTTTCTAAACATAAAATCATATTGACTACAAAAAAAAAAATTGACTTCCTCTCTTCCTGTTTGAATACTCTTTATTTCTTTCTCTTATCTGACTGCCTTGGCTAGAACTTCCAATACTACATTGAATGGGAGTGGTGGGAGAGGGTATCCTTGTCTTGTACTGGTTTTCAAAGGGAATGCTTCCAGCTTTTGCCCATTTAATATGATATTGATTGTCGGTTTGTCATAAATAGCTCTTACTACTTTGAGATATGTTCCAAGATTTTGGGAGTTTTAACATGAAGAAATGTTGAAGTTTATCAAAAGCCTTTTCTGCATCTATTGAGATAATCATGTGGTTTTTGTCTTTGCTTTTGTTTATGTGATGGCTTATGTTTACTGATATGCATATGTTAAACCTGCCTTGCATTCCAGGGATTAAGCTGGCTTCATTATGGTGGGTAAGTTTTTTGATGTGCTGCTGAATTTGGTCTGCCAGTATTTTATTGAGGACTTCCGCATCAATTTTCATCAGGGACATGGCCCTGAAATTTTCTTTTTGTATTGTGTGTCTTCCCAGTTTTGGCATCAGGATGATACTGGCTTAAATGAGTTAGGGAGGAGTCCCTCCTTTAAAGTTGTTTGGAATAGTTTCAGAAGGAATGGTACAAGCTCCTCTTTGTATTTCTGGTACAATTCAGCTGTGAATCGGTCTGGCCCCAGGATTTCTTTGGTTGGTAGGCTATTAATTACTGCCTCAAATGAGTAACTTGTTATTAGTCTATTAAGCGATTCAACTTCTTGTTTATTTTTGTAGAGGTGTTTACAGTATTCTGATGGTAGTTTGTATTTCTGTGAGGTCAGTGGTAATACTCCCTTTATCAATTTTTATTGTATCTGTTTCTTCTCTCTTCTTTTTTATTAATCTAGCTAGTGGTCTATTTTATTAACTTTTTCAAAAAAAAACCAAACAGCTCCTGGATTTGTTGATTTTTTGGAGGGTTTTTTGTGTCTCTATCTCCTGCAATTCTTCCTTGATCTTAATTATTTCTTGTCTTCTGCTAGCTTTTGAATTTGTTTGTTCTTGCTTCACTAGTTATTTTAATTGTGATTTTAGCCTGTCAATTTGAGAACCTTCTAGCTTTCTGATGTGGGCATTTAGTTCTATAAATTTCCCTCTTAGCACTGCTTTAGCCACATCCGAGAGATTCTGGTACATTGCCTCTTTGTTCTCATTGGTTTCAAAGAGCTTCTTGATTTCTGTCTTAATTTCATTATTTACCCAAGAGTCATTCAGGAGCAAGTTGTTCAATTTCCATGAAATTTTGTGGTTTTGAGTGAGTTTCTTAATCCTGAGTTCTAACTTGTTTGCATCGTGGTCTGAGAGACTGTTGTGATTTCCGTTCTTTTGCATTTACTGAGAAGTGTTTTACTTCCAATTTTGTGGTCGTTTTTAGAATAAGTGCCATGTGGCACTGAGATAAATGTATATTCTGTTGATTTGGGGTATAGAGTTTTGTACACGTCTACTAGGTCCACTTGATCCATAGCTGAGTTCAAGTCCTGAATATCTTTGTTAATTTTCTATCTCATTTATATGTCTTACACTGTCAGTGGGGTGTTAAAGTCTCGCACTATTATTGTGTGGAAATCTAAGTCTCTTTGTAGGTCTGTAAGAACTTGTTTTATGAATATGGGTGCTCCTGTATTGTGTGCATATATGTTCAGAATAGTTACCTGTTTTTGTTGAATTGTTCCCTTTACCATTATGTAATGTCCTTCTTTGTCTTTTTTTTATCTTTATGGGTTTGAAGTCTCTTTGGTCAGAGACTAGGATTGCAACCCCTGCTTTTATTTTTGCTTTCCATTTGCTTGGCAAATTTTCCTCCCTCTCTTTATATAAAGTCTGTGTGTGTCTTTGCACATAAGATGGGTCTCCTAAACACAGAACACTGATGGGTCTTGACTCCTTATCCAATTTGCCAATTTGTATCTTTTCACTGGAGCATTTAGCCCACTTACATGTAAGGTTAGTATTGTTATACGTGAATTTGGTCCTGTCAACATGATGCTATTTGGTTATTTTGCACACTAGTTGATGTGGTTTGTTTTTGTTTGTTTTTTTTTTTCTTTGTAGTGTCATTGGTCTTTATATTTTGGTGTGTTTTTGCAGTGGTTGTTACTCGTTTTTCCTTTCCATATTTAGTGTTTCTTTTAGGAGCTCTTGCACGGCAGGCTTGGTGGGAACAAAATCCCTCAGCATTTGCTTGTCTGGAAAGGATTTTATTTCTCCTTTACTTATGAAGCTTAGTTGGACTCGGTATGAAATCTTGGGTTGAAAATTCTTTTATTCAAGCATGTTGAATATTAGCTCCTAATCTCTTCTGGCTTGTAGAGTCTCTGCTGAGAGGTCCACTGTTAGTCTAATGGGCTTCCCTCTGCAGGCAACTTGGCCTTACTCTCTGGCTGCCTTGAACAGCTTTTCCTTCATTTGAACCTTCAAGAGTCTGGTGATTATGTGTCTTGGGGTTGATCTTTTCTTGAAGTATCTTAATGGTGTTCTCTGTATTTCTGAATTCGTATGTTGGTCTGTCTTGTTAGGTTGGGGAAGTTCTGGATAATATCCTAAAGTGTGTTTTTCAGCTTGTTTCCATTTTCCCCATCTCCTTCCGGTACTCCAATCAATCGTAGAGTAGGTATTTTTATGAAGTCCCATATCTCTTGGAGGCTTTGTTAATTCCTTTTCATTCCTTTTCTCTATTCTTGTCTGCCTGTCTTATTTTAGAAGGTCATCTTCAAACTCTGTTATCTTTTCT